GCGCTGTATTCTTGGTGCTTGGGGGGGGGGCAACAGAGGGAGGGCTTCTAGTGTCCTGGCTCCACTGGTGGACCTCCTGGAGGCACCTGGTATTTCTGGCCACTGTGTGATACAGAGTGTTGGACTGGATGGGCCTTTGGCCTGATCCGACATTGTCTTCTCTTATGGTCTTATGGGATCTCCAGGCGCCCCCTGGAGGCTGGCAAGCCTATGTGTGACGGTGACATCCTGGAGACGAGGATCCCCTAACTCCACTGTAACACTCTGCCAACCTGTTGGAGCCACAAGAGCCACCCACCAGATCCCCCCCCTTTGCTCTCACATGCTCAAGCCCATCCTCCCTATGCCCGACCTGGTCCAGGCCTCACACCTACTTTTGGTGACTACCCCTTCCAGGTGGATAACGTTGGGGTGGTCAAACTGAGCCATGATGCTGGCCTCGCTCAGGAAATCCCGGCGTTGCTTCTCGGTGTGACCCGCTTTCAGGGTCTTGACGGCTACCGGCAGTTCCCTCTTTCCCGGAAGCTTCAGACGCCCGTAGCAAACTTCTCCAGACTCTCCTGCAGAGCAAGACAGGGAAACGCGGCATGTTCAGATGGGTGCCCTCCGAGGTCTTTTACCAAGCCCGCCGCCTCCAGACCCACCCACAGCGAGGTGGGAGCAGATGTTCCTCTCTTCCCCGATATTTATTGTTCCTCAGCTTCCCTGCATGCCCTGCCTTCCACTCCCCCGGATTCAATTTAGCTGGGAACATTTCTAAAATTACTTCTCTAATTGGACCGTGTGCAATTTGCTGCCGCTTTCGGGTCCTTCAGTTCCTGCACATGTTTTTTGGTCTTCTGTGTTACTGTGGAGCACATGCACATTGGCAGAAGACTGCCCCCCTCCCCAAAGCAAGGCAATTTTTAAAATGTGTGGTGTTTTTGGAACTCAGCACACATAGGGGTCCCAGCATGTCTTCCACCCAGATATTAACCAGACCAATAAGTAGTTAGCTGGAGGACGGTTGCTGTATCATAGGGCTTTGGATTGTACCCTTGGCTTCTGATGCTTTTGTACATACTAATTAGATCAAGAGTCTATAGATTCCGGTGGGTCGCCATGTTGGTCTGAAGCAACAGAACAAAGTTTGAGCCCAGTGGCACCTTTAAGGCCAAAGAAGTTTAATTCCAGGTGTAAGCTTTCAGGTGCGTGCATGCTTCTTCAGATACATTGAAACAGACCTTGCCAGCTATTACATATAGGGGGTTAGTTACCAGGAAGGACTAACTGGAGTCAGGATGCATAAGTAACTGAACAATAAGTATAGCTAAGATTTTATTAAAGCAGTTGGTAAAACCTGTGGATAGCAGCAAATTAGCATACGGATAATAAAAGAGGTAACAAACCAATGCGAGAACTAAGTGACTTAGCATGTACGGTGAGATAAGAACCCGATATCTCTGTTAAGTCCTGGGGGTTCCATTGTCCTGAGTGTTGTATGTGGATGGTGTTTTCCTGATACACACATGGGCTCTGGCTCATCAATAACACACCATACAAAAACAAACTGAATACAATGGTGCACATACATCAGGGCTGCTGTTCTGTGGTGTTGTATTGCTACATTTGTGTGCATCACCAACTGGGGGAGGGGGGTTTAGGAGAGACCCGTATAAATTGAAAGCTGTTGCAAACTGGTCCTGCACAGATCTCCGTTTTTACTCTACTTGTGTCTGACGAAGGGAGCTTATCAGGGGTCATTTCGTAGAAAAAGAGCTAGGGGAACTCATTAGCATAATTCATTAGCATATGCCACACACCCTGACACCAGGGGCCCGGTGGTGGACCTGCAAGGCCAGTGGGAGTGCGAGGAAGCCCCACCAAGGCCCTCCCTGGCCCCAGGCAGGCAGGGGTGGGGAGAGGCGGGGAGGTAGCAGCTTACCCTCCCTCTTCTCCTGCCTCCTCCTGGCTGAATGAGGGCCGGAAGCAGGGTGGCCGGAAGCAGGGGGTGGGGCTTCGTCATGTGCCCCGCCCCCTGCACCTCACCCGGGGGAACTGCGTTCCCCCGTGATCCCCCCCGAAATGACCTCTGGAGCTTATACCCTGAAACTCTTGTTGCCACTGGATTCGAATCTAGATCTTCGTCTTCATATAATTTTGCAACCAACCATCACTTATCATAACCTGTTGGCTCCACTTTCCTAGACGACTACAACTAGGGTTGCTAGCTCTGGGTTGGGAAATACCTGGAGGTGTTGGGGGTGGAGCCTGAGGGGGGTGGGGTTTGGGGAGGGGAGGGACCTAACACAGCTAGTTTCTCCAGGAAAACTGACCTCTATCGCCTGGAGATCAGTTGTAATCAGTGTTCCCTCTAAGCTGTGGAGTCTTGTGAGCAAAAATTCTGCTTTCTGAGCTACTGGCTTTTAAGTTGTGAACAAGCGATTTGGCTACTGTGGCCCCGGTCACACGGGAGGTTTTGGGCCGGAAGAGGGACGGATCGGGGGTGCAGCAAACGGGCGCGAGCACACCGCAACATCCGGAAATCGGCGTGCACCCGTCCCTGATCCGTCCCTACGGCCCAGTGCTGCAGAGCAAAAAAAAAAACCCAAGTAAAGAGAAGGACTTACCTGAAATGCCACAGCAAGCGCGGCTGTGGGATTGCCGGCGCGGCCGTGGGATCGCCGGCGCGTCCGTCATCAGGAGCATTCGAGGCTCCTGGCTGAACTGCGCATGTGCAGCTGGCTGCCTCGGTCTCCCGTCGGTGGCTTCCTCCCCGGCATCTGATCCTGCCGGGGAGCAACTGCGCAGCAGCTCAGGGGATATGTGTGATCCCGCCGCCGCATGTCTCTTTTGGTGCGGCTCTAAAAAGCCGCAATTTGGCCGTGTTTTTTTCTGCCCTGTGGCAGGGGCCTGTATAAATTAGTTTGCTCTGGAGCCATCCTTCCTGAGCTAAGACAAAAATGCGTGAGCCGGAGGCTTAAAAACTGTGAGCTAGCTCACACTAACGCAGCTTAGAGGGAACACTGGTTGTAATCGCAGGAGAACTTGCAGCCCCCAGGGTGTTTCTCACAGATTTTTGGTACCCCCAGAAGGATGATGGGATGAGAAGGTGTAAGAAAGAGATGAACCACACACCAGACCCGATGACTCTTTCAATTTTAATCCTGGAGGCTTCAATCTCCCGGGTGAATTCATGTATGGCTTGGCAGGGATCTTCATAGGTGTGCGGCTCCACGTAGAATTTTGACTCAGGGAATTTCACTGTGGGAAGGTCAGTGCAAGTCAGGAAGAAAGCAAGATCTCAAGGCAGCAATGCAAAGACATTTCAGAACATGTTGGATCAGGCCCATATACTGCGGGGGGGATTCTTAGCAGTAAAGGGTAAATTTCTAAATGGAGAGCTCCTTGAACTTGTCCGTGAATCTTTACAATTCACACCTTTGGACCCATAGATCTTCTCCTTAACCTCAGGTAAGTGAGGGCTAGTTATGGGTACCAATAGGAAAGGGAATTAGGAACAAACACAGTGGCATTCTAATTGGGGACAAGCAGTAAACCACCACCCCGCCGGTCCTGTTCCTTTATTGTAGCAAAATTTTGCTCCTTTATTATGCCAAATTTTTGTTTCATTCCAGATGAACTAAAAGAATTCCTAAAATTTATTGCAGAACCTGAGGATATCCTCAACTTTTAGTTTGCTGCCGTCTTTTCTTCCTTCCGCGTTAACGCCACATACATCTGCATTGGCCAAACACTGCAAAAAAGCTATCTTCAAGAAGAAGAAGAAGAAGAAGAAGAAGAAGAAGAAGAAGAAGAAGAAGAAGAAGAAGAAGAAGAAGAAGAAGAAGAAGAAGAAGAAGAAGAAGAAGAAGAAGAGGAGGAGGAGGAGGAGGAGATTGGATTTATACCCTGCCCTTCACTTGGAGTCTCAGAGCGGCTTACAAACTCCTTTCCCTTCCCCTCATCACAACAGACACCCTGTGAGGTAGGTGGGGCTGAGAGAACTCTGACACAAACTGCTCTTTTTCAAGGACAGCTGTGCCAGAGCTTGTGACTAACCCAAGGTCACATACGCAGGTGCAAGTGGAGGAGTGGGGAATCAAACCCAGTTCTCCCAGATAAGAGTCCGCACACTACACCAAACTTAGATACAATTACCACAAAATTCTTTTCATCCAGTGTTGTTCTGATGCACCCATGTGCTACTGTGCCCTTGTGAAACATCACACCAAAAAACCCCTGTTGTGATCATACATGTAATCACAGAGGGGTTACTTTTTTGCAGTGCATTATCAATTCACATTGGTAACGCGTAGATGTGAGAGACACCGAATAATGGAGAGCTTCAGCAGACTACACTGTACACAAATTGGAAGTAAAAATACAAGACAGTGGCAAATTCCTAATGCAATAGCTGCATTTTCAGAAACTGGCTAGATGGTCCCAAGTTCTAAAATCCAGGGGTGGGGGGAGTGGATACAGAGAAGTCTGAAAAGACAAGTCATGCACCCTACAATGGCAGGTGTATCCCATTTCATGGCAAGCTTGTTGCTGAGGCTTACTCCTGGAATGGTAACAGGAAGAAGGAGGAGGAGGAGGAGATTGGATTTATACCCTGCCCTTCACTTGGAGTCTCAGAGTGGCTTACTTGCTCCTTCCCTTCCCCTCCCCACAACAGACACCCTGTGAGGTAGGTGGGTCTGAGAGAGCTCTGAGACAACTGCTCTCGAGAGAACAGCTCTGAGAGAACTGTGACTGGCCCAAGGTCACCCAGCAGGCTCCACGTGGGGGAAGAAGAAGAGCTGGTTTTTATACCCCACTTTTCCTCTCCCCTAAAGAGTCTCAAAGCAGCTTACCATTGCCTTCCCTTCCTCTACCCACAACAAGCCCCTTGTGAGGCAGGCGGGGCTGAGAGAATTCTGAGAGGACTGTGACTGGCCCAAGGTCACCCAGCGGGCTTCATGTGGAAAAGGAGTGGGGAATCAAACCTGGTTCTCCGGATTAGAGTCCAATGCTCTTAACCACGACACCAAACTGGCTCAGTTATGGGTAATCTGAGGCCAAATTTGGAGGGCCCCTGGGCGGGGAGGGTGGGGTATAAACGGGATAAATAAATAAACACTTGCTCCATTTTCTGTGTGTTCAGAGACACGCTGCCTCCCCCCTTCTTAGAAGGTTTCGATGAACTTGGGTGGTACCACACCCTTCTCTGCTGAACAGCACTACCCCCTCTTGAGGCCCGGAGCCCTGGCCACTGCCAAGCAATGCTTACCCCTGCCTCCCATAGCAGACAGGAAGGAGAAAAAAGTCGTTCCTGCCTCCCCGAGAGAATGGCACAAATCACCCATAAGAGCAGAGCACAGCCATTCAGAAGGGGCAGCTTTAACTCCAGGTTTAACAAGCAACAAAACATCAAATTGGACAGACCCAATCGAGGCCCTGTCCACACGAGAGGATTAGGGGCGGGAGAGGGACGGAACGGGGGCGGAGCCAACGGGCGCATCCCACCGCAACATCTGGGAAGCGTACCGTGTCTGTCCCTGATCCGGCCCTTCCAGCGATGATCCGCACCAAGAAAGAACCACCTACCAAGGTGGTTCTTTTCGAACGGCCGCAGCAACGCTGGCCGTGGGATCGCTGGTGCGTTCTTTCGCCGGCGCATCCCCGGCTCCTTGCCGAACTGCGCATGCTCCGACATGCGCAGTTCAGCAAACTCCCGTGCCTTTCTCCCCATCTCCCCGGCATCTGATCGTGCCGGGGAGCAAATGCACAGCGGCTCAGGGGATCTGTATGATCCCGGCGCTGTGTGCCTATTTAGGTGCGACTTTTTAAAAGCCGCACTTTGGCCGTCCCTTCTTCCCTCGTGTGGCAGGGGCCCGAGATGGAAAGAACTCTTAAGGCGTGACTTGATATCTGCTCTGGTGGGTGGATGTCTGCTCTACTTCAGGGATTTCTGGGTCAATTCCCATGCTGATGGTTGGGCAGTAGAAGGAGTCGCCAAGAGGTACACCATCGAATTCAGCAGATACCCACCAGAGCGTTTCATAACATCAGGGGGAGCAGTTCTGAGTCGAGGGGTTCGACATCTTCTCTAATCTCATACCTCTCATACCAATCAGCCCGCTGGAGTTCTCAGCCATCCGTTTAGCCCGCCTCCATTGCGGAAACAAAATAACTCAGGTCGAATCTGCATTTGCATTTTTTTAGCGGTTTCATGCTGCTGTGATGCCGTCTTTCTCTATGCTTGTTCGAATGTTGTTTGGAGAAGATTCTTTCAAAGCAGTGCAGAGGTGCAATGTCAGCGGAGCCGACACAAAAGGGCAGTAAACATATGCGGACACGCAAAAGTATGCTAGCACTGTTGAGGTTTGAAAACGAAACCAAACGTAGACAGCTTTTTTAAAGACGGTGTCAGAAGGCTGAGACACCGGTGGGGAAAAACAAATGCAGATTCGACCTCAGTCTCATGTCCTGACAAGTCTGAAGCCGGGCATGAGTGAAGGTAACGGGACCCCTCCGCACTCACTCACCCTGCCCGTTCTGATAGTGCATCTTCTCCTCGTCGGAGTCTTGGAAAGCCTTGCTGTAGCCGCAGTGCCTGCACTCAGAGGGAGATGCAAATCATGACAGGAAAGAGATTGGAATGTCACCTTAGAGCAGAGGCTGCCGGTCTGGTTTGGGCACCTGTCAAAGAATCTTAATGGTCCTTGGTCAAAAGTCCACTCAGTTTTGTCCTCTCTCCTTCAAAAAGGCCACGTTCTAGCGGGGAGACGCGCCAGAGCAGGGTGGATGGGGGACGGAGGATTGGTAGGGAGAGATGATTTGATTACGTATTTGCCACCTTTCTCCCCAGTGGGCAACCAAAGAGGCTGGCGCCATTCTCCTCTCCTCCATGTCACCCTGACAACAACCCTGCGAGGTAGGGGCATCTGAGAGTCTGTGACTGCCCTGAGACTGCCCAGCAAGCCTTAATGGCAGAGTGGGGGCTCAAACCTGGCCGGGGTTGCCAGCGCTGGAGATTTTGGGGGTGGAGCTCGGGGAGGGGAGGGATTGGGAAGGGGAGGGACCTGTGTGGGATAGAATGCCATAAAATCCACCTTCCAAAGCAGCCATTTTCTCCAGGAGAGCTGGTCTCTGCAACCTGGAGCTAGGGCTATCAGGTCCCCTCAGGGGGCATTTTGTAGAAAAAGAGGTGCAGGAGCTCATTAGCATAACTCATTAGCAGAGGTCATTTCGGGGGGAAACGCGGGGGAACGCAGTTCCCCCGGGTGAGGTGCAGGGGGCGGGGCACATGATGAAGCCCCGCCCCCTGCTTCTGTCCGCCCCGCTTCCAGCCCTCATTCAGCCAGGAGGAGGCAGGAGAAGAGGGAGGGTAAGTTGCTTCCTCCCCGCCTCTCCCCACCCCTGCCTGCCTGGGGCCAGGGAGGGCCTTGGCGGGGCTTCCTCGCACTTCCGCCGGCCTTGCAGGTCCACCGCCAGGCCCCTGATGTCAGGGGTGTGGCATATGCTAATGAGTTATGCTAATGAGTTCCCCTAGCTCTTTTTCTACGAAATGACCCCTGCTCATTAGCATATCTTATTTGCATAGGCCACACCCCCTGACATCACCGGAAGTGTGTCAGAAGGCAACACCCACCACTCAGGCTCCACTGGACTGTTTTGGATTGCTAGCTATTGGGGGGTGGAGAAAGAATGTGCAGATCTGTCCTCGCAGAGGAGGGAGAGCTTGTACCTGAATAAAACTTGGACTTAAAGGTGCCACTGGACTGTTTTGGACCGGGGAGGCCAGGGGGAGTTCTGCAACTTACCTGGCTGCTTCTTGCTCTAAACTGAGGGCTGCTGTGAGCAGGGGGTAAGGCTTGTTGCATGTGCCCTCCCCGGGCTCTTTACTGCCAGAGCTCCGCTTCTGTGCGCTCCTGCAGGAAATGACCCCTGGGTCCCCTCATCACACTGGTGGTGGGGGGTTGCAGGTGTTCTGGGGGGTAGGTGGGGACATCACATGGGGACACACCAGTATTTGGGCGAAACGCTATGGTTTTCTCACCGCGTTTGTCCAAATACCAGATGATGTCCATTCCAGGTGATGTCATCGTGTTTAGGGGTGGGGTTTCCAGCTGGTCCACAGCAGGGAGTAGCCCCTGAAACTGGGGGATCCCCCACCCGGACCTGAGGTCAGGCAATCCTGTCTGGAGACCAGCTGCAATAGCAGCAGATCTCCAGCCGCCACCTGGCGATTGGCAACCCTCAACCTGGCTCTCCCAGATCTTCGTCCAGCGCGCTAACTGCTGCACCACGCTAGCTCCCTATTAGGCAGGTACCCAGCGGAGGAATTTGGTTCCGGGGGGAATGAGGTCGGAAGGAGCATTGGTGACCCTGGCTCCTCAGCCGTGGCACCCAGAGGCAGGACAGAGGGGGCAGCAGTGGCAGGTGGTGGCCTCAGGTGGTGCAGAGATGGGTTCCCAGCTCTGGATTGGGAAGCACATAGAGATTTTGGGGGTGGAGCCCAGGGAGGGCGGGGTTTGGGGAGGGGAGAGGCCTCAGCAGGGGACGGTGCCATTGGGTCCACCCTCTAAAGCAGAAGCTGACCCCTACTGCCTGGAGATCAGGGATCAGGAGGGGGGCACCCAGGGCTCTTTTTCTAGAAAAAGCCCAGCAGGAACTCATGAGCATAATAGGCCACACCCAACAGCAGAAACTCATGAGCCTATTAAGCCACACCCCCGACATCACAGCTCATTAGCATATCAGGCCACACACCCCATGCTACCACACCCACTTTTTGCTTCTTATTCTATTTACCTTGTTTGTTGTCAAAACCCAGGGCTTTTTTTGTAGCAGGAACTCCTTTGCATGTTAGGCCACACACCCCTAAAGTAGCCAATCCTAATGAGTTTCTGCTGTTGGTTGTGGCCTATTATGCTAATGAGTTCCTGCTGGGCATGGCCAACTCGGGAGCCAGCCGGAACTCCATTCCTGTGCATTCCTGGTTCCTGCCCAAAAATAGCTCTGGGGGCACCTAATGTTAACTTATCCAGATCTTTCCCAGCCCTGTGGCTGCAGATGCTGCTCAAGCTTGACCGTTGCCCAACGAAGCAAAAGAACTGCCCTCTCTGGCTTTCTTTCTACTCCGGTAACTGTCTTATTACTTCGAGACCATGTGAGGCCAAACAACTTTTCCTCTCCCCTGCTGAGTCCCCTGGCTGAGACATAACACTCATGGGACCACCCGCATGCAACAGTGGATCTAGTTGCCCTGGGGGGGGGGTTTAATCCCACAGGAGGCTTTACAAGGCGGGCTCCGCTCTCTCACCTCTTCTTGCAGATCAGGAACAGGAGCAGGGAGACGAGACCGGAGATCAACGTGAGGCAAATCCAGACGACGGTCGTGGTGTCATAATGGCGAGCTACTGGGAGACAAAGATTGCATCGGATTCTCACTTGCTGTCTGCAAGGATTTTTAGAGGAGAGGTTCTGGTCAGATCCCTGATTCAGTCTCCAGTATCTCCATTTAACAGGCAGGAGGAAATGTGAAAGCCCTCTGCCTGAGACCCTGGAGAGCCGCTGCCAGTCTGGGTAGACAAGACTGACCTTGGGGGACCAAGGCTCTGTTTCATTGATTCCGTCTAAAACAGCTTTGCCGGCAGCAGCTCTCCAGGGTCTCAGGCAGAGGTCTTTCCTGTCACTGACTTCCTGATCCTTTTAACGGGCAATGCTGGGGACTGAACCTGGGACCTTCTGCATGCTAAGCAGATGCTCTACCACTGAGCCACAGCCCCGATTTTTGTAACCTGGCCAGAAGAGGGAGTTTTGTGTATGTATGTATTTAGATATTCACAAGAAGCAGGACCCGCGATTCTCGCGGGGGTGTATGCCCCACGGCCTGCAAAGCAGGAGGGGGTCCTCAGTGACGAGGAGGAGGCAGCTGCAGGTGAGTCCAGCAGCAACGGCGGCAAGCCGTGCCCAGGTACCAGCCACCCGCCCGCCCACGCTTCCCCCCCCGCCCAGCAGCAATGACGGCGAGCCCTGTGTGGCTCCCAGCCGCCTGCCCGCCAAGGCTCCCCCGGTTCCCTCACAGCTGCTAGTAGCAAGCTCTGCCACAGTTCCAAATGGCAAGTCCATTTTCCACGCATGCGTGAGAACACAGTTTCAGTTTTTTGGGGATTTAAGTATCTCCGTATATATTTTTAAACATGTTAGATTTTTCTGCATACCTAAGTAATGCCTCAAGTGTGCAGGAATTTCTGTTGAGCCTTCATGTGCCCCCAATTTGCATAAATAAGTATCCGCACCCACTGGGGACACTTGGCTATTAGTATATAGATACCCCCTTTTCTTTCCAGCAGGGACCCAAAGTGGCTTACAATGTCATTCTTCCTCCATTCTCCACAACGACAAACCTGCAAGGTAGGGGCAAGCTGAGAGACAGAGAATGGCCCAACCAAGCTCAGTTGGCAAGCTTCGAGGGATTTGAACCTGGGTCTCCCAAATCCTAGTCTTACACTTGAATCATTATGCCATGCTAGCTCAGGAAAGGCTGCACAATTTTAGACAGCAAAGGGGAAAATATCCAAACTCCCTGGTTGGTTTCTCAATTTGTGGGGAGGGGTCCCGTGCAAAGTGCTGCTGGACCTCCCACCACTCTGCCTGTGGACCCGCTGCTCCCACGGTTCCTCACTTGCTTTGGTGGTCTCCACTTCCATGGCCTGGCTGAACTTGCCACAGCCAGCAGAGGTGCGGGCCCGGACTTGGAAGACGTAGCGGGTTGCGGGCTTGAGTCCTGAGACGGTGGTGCTGTTGCCCTTGGACTTCAGCGTGGAGTAACTCTGCATCTCTTTGTCCTGGGGTGGCAAACACAGGGAACGGTTAATCAATTTACTAGATTTAAGAACATAAGAACATAAGAGATGCCAATGTTGGATCAGGCCAAAGGCCCATCCAGTCCAACACTCTGTATCCCACAGTGGCCAGAAATACCAGGTGCCATCAGGAGGTCCACCAGTGGGGCCAGGACACTAGAAGCCCTCCCACTGTTGACCCCCCCAAGCACCAAGATGACAGAGCATCACTTGCCCCAGAGCCCCTATCTATACCTTGTGGCTAATAGCCACTGATGGACCTCTGCTCCATACACTTATCTAATTCCCTTTTGAAGCCGTCCATGCTTGTAGCCGCCACCACTTCCTGTGGCAGTGAATTCCAAGTGTTAATCACTCTTTGGGTGAAGAAGTACTTTCTTTTATCCGTTCTAACCCGACCGCTCAGGAATTTCATGGAGTGCCCACGAGTTCTTGTTTTGTGAGAAAGGGAGAAAAGTACCTCTTTCTCTACCTGCTCTTTCCCATGCATAATCTATTTAATAGAGAGGCAGGACCTGCAGAACAGGCACGGGCATCACATCTTAGAGCAGAGGTGTCGAACTCATTTGTCACGAGGGCCGTATCTGACATAAACAACACTTTGTCAGGCTGGGCCATAACAAGCAATGCCAGGTACCGGAGACATAAACTGTATAGGGACAGCAGTTGGTAGGCTCTGGTGTATCCTCGCTGCAAAGCCTCATGGGATGGGAGGGGGGTGCAAAGGAAAACCATACAGGCAGACTAGAGAGCCAGCGGTGTAGCACTGGGCAGACGCTCCCACGCTGCTTGACTGCTGCAGAGGAGGTTGTTCCGCCATGCTGAAGCCACGATCAGAGGGGCTCTGCCCACTCCCCCCCTGAGCAGTCACCTGTTCCCTCCCATGCACTAGTTGCTCACAGGCCACATAAGAGCCCTGGGCGGGCCAGTTCTGGCCCCCAGGCCTTATGTTTGACAGCCCTGTCTTAGAGGGATGAATGAATCACACACACACACACACACACACACTTCTGTTTCCATCCTGCTGCCGGCTGCTCTCTGCTCCGCCATCTATTCTGTCTAACTTCAGGTTTAATTCCTATTTAGAGAATTCACACCTGATGCCGCCGTATACTGAATCAGTACTACCACCTCTCCCCACCCCCACCCCCACCCACCAGCCAATAAACCAATTACCTTCTCATAGTATTTGATCTCGTATTCCAAAATGATGCCGTTGGGTTGGTCCGGTTCCTGCCAGATGAGGGTGACACTGTTCTGACCCACGTTCTCTTGGTGAATGGCCAGCACCTGGGACGGGGCTAAGAAAGCACACAACAGAGAGTCATGAAGGCAAAGAGAGGCTGTGGCTCAGTGGTAGAGCCTCTGCTTGGCATGCAGAAGGTCCCAGGTTCAACCCCCGGTATCTCCAGTTAAAAGGACTAAGCAGTAGGTGCTGTGAAAGACCTCTGTCTGAGACCCTGGGAGAGCCTCTGCCGGTCTGAGCAGACGATATTGACTTTGATGGACCGAGGGTCAGACTCAGTATAAGGCGGTTTCATGCGTTCAAAAGCAGGGCAACGAGTATGAGACACACCTCATCTCTAGCTAGCTAAGAACATAAGAGAACATAAGAGACGCCAATGTTGGATCAGGCCAAAGGCCCATCTAGTCTAACACTCTGCCACACAGTGGCCAAAAATATCAGATGCCATCAGGAGATCCATCAGTGGGGCCAGGACACTAGAAGCCCTCCCACTGTTGTCCACTGGGCGCTTGGCTGCAATGCCATGCAGTCAGCCTATGACACCTGGACCAAGGCAGCAGATACTGGCATCCCAACTCAAGAGCCATTCCCTCTGGTATTTATTTATTAGTTAGAAAATGCAGACGCTGCCCATACAGGGACCCTCCCCAAGCGGCTCACATAAAATACATTCATAAAAACCACATGAGGATTGTCGCTGTTAAAGCGTGCATTCATCTGTGCCATCTTATGGCAATAGGGTTGCCAACTGTATCTTCGCCGGGAGCTGGGGGCTCCCGGCCGGCGTCTTGTGTGTGCGCCACATGCATGTCACCTGGAAATGATGGGAGGATGCCAGGCACTCTATAGTTTTCCCTTGTATGGCCGTGGCCCCGCCCCCAGCGTGCCCAGCGTGCCCACGTCACTTCCTGGTGATGGACACACCGGGGTGGGGTTCCCCCCGGGGCCCAATTCCGTGGCGGCAGAAATCGGGCCTCCAAAGCGGGGGCAGCCCTATATGGCAAACCAAAACAGAAGGGGGGGGGACACTAGCACATGTTTATATGTTATAGCGTGCACGTAACAAAGGAAAAAACTGAGCACCGAGGAAGGCCTCAAAGGCTGAAACGCATTTGGACCTGTTTTAACATGGCTCAAGGTTATCAACCTAGATAGATTGAATTATTGGCCCTGTTTTATTGGTTCAAGGTTTTTAACCGAGAAATATCAAAATGTATCAGGTTATATGGATTCAGGACTTCTTAGTTCAAAAATTCATAACTTCAAAGGCAGATTGTGCCCATGTTTTTAAAGTACAGTTTTAGTGCACTTTGTAATAACTATGTATATTTTGGTTTGATTTATTTCTCAAAGTATTTTTTCCCTCTCACCCAACTAGGCTTGCCAAGTCCTCCCGGGGGGGGGGAACCCCCACCCCAAAGGCCCATTTCCCGCCACTGGCGGATCGGGCCCCGGGGGGAACCCCACCCCCAAAGCACGCAACGTGCACATCACCTGGAAGTGACGCGACCACGCCGGGCACGCTGGGGGCGGGGCCATGGTCATCCGGTGTGGTTGCGTCACTTCCGGGTGATGGGGTTGCGCGCACGCACACACACTCCCGAAGTGGCTCTGGAGTCCCCTGCTCCAGCGCTGCTTCAGACTTGGCAACCCTACACCAAACCTTTGGGTACCCAACTTCGTTCCATCTTATGGCAAGCCCGGTGTGGGCTTTCAAGGCAAATGAGAAGGAAAGGCGGTTGTCCATTGCCTTCCTCTGCAGAGCCTCCCTTGGTGGTCTCCCACCCTGCTTAACTGCTGAGAAATTAGTCTAGACTGCGTCCCTCCTACTGATATTAAAGCAAGCCATAAAATGTGTCAAAGGCACATTAGTGAAACTGTCTTTTCATTCATTAAGAATATACTGCCCTTTCTTGGGAGTCTCTCATTCTGGCAGCAGCCATCCAGAAGGCAAATCCACACCAGGACATTTCCCTCATCCAACAGCCCAGCCATCTACCCTTTTATTCCCTCTTGTAACCTACTGAAATTATATTCTATCAGGGCTCTTTTTGTAGAAAAAGCCCAGCAGGAACTCATTAGCATAATAGGCCACACCCAACAGCAGAAATTCATCAGCATATTAGGCCACACCCCTGACAGCACAGCTCATTAGCACATTAGGCCGCACCCCCATGTCACCAGAAGTGTGGTCATCCAGCCATACCCACCTTTTGCTTCTTATTCTGTTTACCTTGTTTGTCTTCAAAACCCAGGGCTTTCTTTGTCGCAGGAACTCCTTTGCATGTTAGGCCACACACCCCTAATGTAGCCAATCCGAATGAGTTCCTGCTGTTGGGTGTGGCCTATTATGCTAATGAGTTCCTGCTGGGCGCGGCCAACTCGGGAGCCAGACGGAACGCCGTTCCTGTGCGTTCCTGCCCAAAAATAGCCCTGATTATTCTTTGTCTTACTTCTTATTTAAATACAATGAAATTTTATTTTTTAAAAAAACCAAAAAAACAGCCCAGCCATGGCACCATCTGCAGCTTCGTAACCACTGGTGGTTCAGCGTGTTTTGCATCCCATCCACCCCCAGGCCTCACCATCGTGAATGCCAGCCTAGGTTTGCCAGCTCTAGGATAGGGGATTCCTGGAGGTTTGGGGGTGGAGCCTGAGGAGGGTGGGGTTTGGAAAGGAGGGTATAATGCCATAGAGTCTGCCTTCCAAAGTAGCCATTTCCTCCAGGGGAACTGATCAGTGCAGTCCGGAGATCAGTTGTAGAAGCAGGAGATCCCCAGGCCCCAACAAGAAACTGGCAACCCTAAGAGATGCTGTGCCCAGAGCCGGGCCTGTGTTCCCCAGACAGGGCACGCATAGACTCAGGAAGGAGAGGAGATGCCACCAAGCTGTGAGTCAGGCAATTGGGTTGCCAGTTCTGGATTGGGAAATACCTGGAGATTTGGGAGGTGGAGCCTGAGGAGGGCGGGGTTTGGGGAGCGGAAGGACTTCAACGGGGTATAAGGCCATAGAGTCCACCGTGCAAAGTGGCCCTTTTCTCCAGGTGCTGATGCTGGCAGTTCCCTGCATGGAGCTCACAGTGGGTTTAAAAAAAAACAATCATCAGGTGTGTGGAGGGTCCAATTCTAACCGAACATAAGAGAAGCCAAAGTTGGATCAGGCCAATGGCCCATCCAGTCCAACACTCTGTCACACAGTGGCCAAAAATACCAGGTGCCATCGGGAGGTCCAGCAGTGGGGCCAGGACACTAGAAGCCCTCCCACTGTTGCCACCCCCCAGAACCAAAAATACAGTGCATCACTTGCCCCAGACCAAGGGTTCCTATCTATACCTTGTGGCCAATAGCCACTGATGGACCTCTGCTCCATATGCTTATCCAATTCCCTCTTGAAGCCATCCATGCTTGTAGTCACCGCCCCCTTCTGTGGCAGTGAATTCCACATGTTAATTAGTCTTTGGGTAAAGAAGGACTTCCTTTTATCCATTCTAACCCGACTGCTCAGCAATTTCATGGAGTGCCCACAAGTTCTTGTATTGTGAGAAAGGGAAAAAAGTACTTCTAAGATAGCATCACAGCACGAGTGGAAGGGGGTTTATGTCTTCCCCACATGCCATTTTTCCGATCTGAAATCACCTCCAAGAGCCACTATTTGCCAGAAACATGTGGATACTAGAGTAATCTTGTTCTGAACCCCAGGTTCTTGATATGAAGTTGGCTAAGAGTTTGGGACAGTTGGTAACAGCAATTGCTATTAACTGGCTGGGGCCTGTGCGAGACAGAATGCCGGGCTAGATGGACCAGCAGGGCGCTTCTGAGAGTCTCAAATGAAGAGCAACCCCATTAGAAAACAAGAGGAGACTCGGAGAAAACTGTGCATTAATTAGGGACAAGCGCACGTTCCGCATCTCGTTCCTTTTGATAGTTGTTTCTATTTTTATTAACGAGTTTGGTTCGCCAATTTTCACTGTCGGATTGGTATGCGCAGCGCACCGTTTACCCATGCGAGTAATAACGGCACTTATACCCGCAACGTGCATCACTTATCCAGATCATATAGGCATAATCTTTAATGGGGACTTATCACCACACAAATAGCTCTGAAATATGGGTCTAATGGAGAAAATGAGGAGGAAACGGAAAATGATGTTAGAAGAGAGAATTGCGGGTTTAATTTTCGCAAGGCAGAACTGACATTGAACTTGAGGATTTTAAGGTCAAAATAATAGAGATGAGAAATTCAACATCGTCCTCGGTATAAATTACCAATATACCATTTTAGCCCTTCCCCTCTGTTGCCTTTTTTTCTGGATTTTTTTTTTTTTTTTTTTGCTTTGCAGAGTAAAAGATGCTTGGGGTGAGGATTTGGGGGAAAATACTTCCCAGGGTGAGAGGCTAAGAAAACCACCTCTTTTCCATACACACACACACAATGGCCTTCTGCTGGAAATTGCAGCCACAACGGCTGCAATTTAAAACTTGTATAAGGGAAGGGGGGGAAAGCCTTTCACAATGATCACAAAAACTACACATAACGGTGTGCTTTCCACCCCAAGGCAAAGCTGTCAGTGGAGTCTCAGAAAGAACGCTCAGATGGAGCATGAATAGAAACTCAAACTAGCAATTATCTGTGTGCATTTATAACTTTTACCTGCATCTCCTTTTCTGCACTTGAAGTATAACTCTCCGTGAATCAGAGGAAATTTAGCAACCTACAAAAACAGTAGGCCGAGACATACACTCCTGCGCTGAGATACCTATATTTTACAAATCTGCAGGGAAGTTCCGGATTTCATACCTTTTTTCATTTGCCGATATTTTATAGAATCATAGAATCACAGAGCTGGAAGGGGCCAGACAGGCCATCTAGTCCAACCCCCTGCTCAGTGCAGGATCAGCCTAGAGCATCCTTGACAAGGGCTTGTCCAGCCACTGCTTAAAGACTGCCAGTGAGGGGGAGCTCACCACCTCCCAAGGCAGCTGATTCCACTGTTGAACTACTGTCGCTGTAAAAAAGTTCTCCCTGATATCCAGCCAGGACCTTCCCGCCCTTAATTTAAACCCATTGTTCCAAGTCCTGTCCTCCTTGCCCTCCTCTAAGTGACAGCCCTTCAAATGCTTCAAGAGTGCCATCCTGTCCCCCCTCGACCTCCTCTTCTCCAGACTGAACATTCCCAAGTCCCTCAGCCTTTCCTCACAGGGCTTGGTCTCCAGGCCCCTGATCATCCCCATCGCTCTCCTCTGCACCCGCTCCATTCTGTCCACATCCTGTTTGAAGTGAGGCCTCCCGAACCACACACAAGACTCCAGGTGCAGCCTGACCAATACAGTGTGCAGCGGGACCATGACATCTTGCAACCTGGATGTTATGCCACTGTTGATACACCCCAAGATCACATTAGTCTTTTTTTTTCACCAGGTCACACTGGCTGCTCCTATTTAACTTATGGTCCACCCGTACCCCAAGAGCTTGTTCATACACTGCTACCCAGAAGTGTATCCTCCATCCAGTATGCATGTTAGGGGTTTTGATTCTGTACTTCTTTTGCTAGTGATTTTGCAAGTGCAATGCATCGATGTACATACGGTATGTCATAAATACATAAAGCATACGTATGGGGTTGGATCCTGCCAGCTTTTTCACTTGCTCAAGTCCCCTCCTTTTTAGACACCCTGTTCTACATTACATTTGTCCAGACAGATCCCAGGATATCAAGCATAGCCTTTTTGGTGGTCAAAAGGGACGACTTCCTCCCTTGATCACCAGTGGAAAAGCTAGTTGTATTCAACTCACAAACATGTCAATTTCACACCCGAAGCTGCGGGGCTGCATTTTGACTCGCAGCTTTGCTCGATTTCCTCCGCAGTTTCGTGATCCTGGTTTTCCTCCGCAGTTTCATGATCCTCAAAAACCAGGATCACGAAAGAAGCCCCGAGTCAAAATGCAGCCCCGCAGCCTCTGGTGTGAAATTGACATGTTTGTGTCGAGGAAAACGGCGGCTGCACTGCGAGGCAGCTCTAGTGAGAAATCGCCCTATGGGGCTTATACACTTAAACACTTATACCCTGCCCTCCCAGCAATAGCCGGCTCATAAGATAAAACAGCAACACATAATATAGTAATCATAATGATAATGCTAACTTATCAACAAATAATATTGGAAAATATACATGTTGTACTGGGGGGGTGGATTATTTGGAAGGTAGAAGAAATTAATGCGTAACTGAAGAATTATGGGTATGATTTCCACAAGGAAGAATTTTGGAGTGGAAACTGCAGGGATGAGAAAATTGTACACATCCCGATACAGACGTTTATAGTAGGCTTCAAAACTATTCTCTCTAGATGGAGAAATATAAAGCTTGAAGGTTATTTAAGAACTATTTTAAAACGGAACAGACTTATAAGGGCACAAAATTAATTTATCTAAATCAAGGGGAAAATAGGAAGCATTTCCAACTATCGATTTGCAGTTTATAAAACCCCCAATTCTTTGCATTACTCAGAGTAAAGTAGGGTAATATATCTCCAAAATAATTTTTAAAAAGATTGAGTAAGTAAAGTAACCACAACAAAGGATTTTCACACAGAGAGGCCGTGGCTCAGTGGAAGAGCCTCCGCTTTGCATGCAGAAGGTCTCAGGTTCAGTCCCTGACATCTCCAGTTAAAAAGAATCAGGTAGGAGGTGATGTGGAAAACCTTCACCTGAGACCCTGGAGAGCTGCCGCCGGTCTGAGTAGACAATACTGAATTTGATGGTCCAAAGGTCTGATTTGGTATAAGCAGGGGTTGTTTCGTAGAAAAAGAGCTAGGGGAACTCATTAGCATAGCTCATTAGCATATGCCACACCTCCTGACATCACCGAAAGTGTGTCATAAGGCCACACCCCCTGACATCACCGGAAGTGTGTCATAAGGCCACACACCCCGCCCCCAACGGTCCCGGCCGCCGCCGCCGGCCTTGCAGCTCCACTGCCGAGCCCCATGAGGGGCCCGGCGGTGGACCTGCAAGGCCGGCAGGAGTGCAAGGAAGCCCCGCGAAGGCCCTCCCTGGCCCCAGGCAGGAAGGGGAGGGGAGAGGCAGGGAGGAAGCAACTTAACCTCCCTCTTCTGGGTATAAGGCAGCTTCATGTGTGCAAGGTACATGAAGGTGTGGTCCACGGAGCTGGCCTTGCCCACTGGAATGCTGCACAGACACCTCTCGTGGGTCAGTTCTGTAGCACCAGCCCCTGAGCCGGAGAGCGAGTGGAAGCTGACTGACAGGGGCCATCTCCTACCTGCCTGGTTTGTGGTGATGTTGACAGCGGCGAATCTCGGCGGCTCAGGACTCAGCTCCGAGACCCCGTTGACGGCCTCCACCCAGAAGGAGTAGTTGGTGTGGGCCAGGAGATTGGTAACGACAAGAGAGCCCTGCGCCAAATTTGTCTGCTGGGGAACGAAGCGGATCCCGGCGCCGCAGGCCTCACACTGGCCTGAGTCCCACGTGCAACGGCGACAGAGCACGTTGTAGAGAATATCACTGCGGCCTCCTTTGTCCAGCGGTGATGCCCACTCCAAGGTGACTGAAGTACCATTCACACTGGATAACAGGTTCAAGGGAGCAGAAGGCGGCCCTGGAAAGGATGGGAAAGAGGGCAGAATCAGGCAGAGTGGCGGAGGGACTCAACGTAGGGTTGCCAGCCTCCAGGTGGGGCCTGGAGATCTCCCGCTTTCACAACTGATCCCCAGCTGACAGAGATCAGCTCCCCTGGAGAAAACGGCTGCTTCGAATGGTGGACTCCATGGCGTTGTACCGTGCTGAGGCCCCTCCCCAAACCCCGCCCTCTCCCGGATCCACCCCCAAAGTCTCCAGGTATTTCCCAACCCAGACTTGGCAACCCTAAATCAAAGCTGCAAGGTAGGGACAGCAGGCACGTGACACAGCAACTTTGGTGGAGCTAAGCATTTCACGGTCTGGTCAGCACTTGGATGAAACACCATATAAGAGTCTCTAGGGTTGTCTGACTCTAGGGTTGTGGTGCTCATCTCCATTTCCAAGCCAAAGAGCCAGCGCTGTCCGAAGACGTTTCCATGGTCATGTGGCCAGCATCACTAAACACCAAGGTGCCGAAGCGGTACCTATTTATCTACTTGCAATTTCTTGCTTTCGAACTCCTAGGTTGGCAGGAGCTGGAACCAGAGACGGGAACTCACTCCGTCATGCCGCACTTGGGTCTCAAACTGCTGAACTACCAACCTTCCAGCCTGCTGTTCAGTGTCTTATAGGGTTGCCGAGTCCTTACCTCAAGAAGAGTGGGGGAGTCCAGCGGTGGTCCGGGACTCCCTGTGCATGCGCAAAGCGCGCGTGCACCACAATTACGTCACTTGAAAGTGACGTAATCGCATCAGGCATGTTGGAGGCGGGGCCACAAAAATCTGAGGGAAAACCATAGAGTTTTCCCTCGGATTATTGTGGCCCTGCCCCCAACGTGCCCGACGCGTTCATGTCACCTCCGGGTGACGTGCTCACGCCGGGCACATCGCGTGCTTTGGGGGTGGGTTTCCCCCTGGGGCCCGATCTGCTGGCGGCGGGTAACAGGCCTCTCGGGCGGCTTTTTCCCCACCCCCTGGGGGGACTTGGCAAGCCTAGCGTCTTAACCACTTGAGCCACCGCAGCTCCTGATAGAAGGCAGGCAGGCTGTAAATCAGTTAAACTATGGTCCATCTAGCACTATAGAGGGATCTATCTCAGGCTGAGGATTTGGCTTAGTGGTGAAACCTCTGCTTTGTGTGCAGAAGGTCACAGGTTCAATCCCTGGCATGCCCAGTTAAAGGGATTGAAGGGAAGGTGATGTGAAAGACCTAAGGCCATGGAGACTGACTGCTAGTTAGAGTAGACAATACTGACCTCGATAGATCGGGTGATCCTGATTCACTATATGGTAGCTTTGTGTGCACTTACTAGATATTTAGGGGAAGTCAGGTGGGTAGCCGTGTTGGTCTGATGCAAGAGAACAAAGTCTGGGTCCAGTGGCACCTTTAAGACCAACAAAGTTTGATTCTGGGCATAAGCTCTCATGTGCAGGCACACGTTGGTATCTGAAGAAGTGTAAAAATAGAACTACAAGAACTGTACACAGTGCGCTCGATATTTCTTTAACGAAAACCGTAAAGTTATAAATATGAAATGTACAAAAGTGATAGTTAGGAACCACCAACACCTGGTTAACACATAAGCTTTATTCTGTTTGAGAGATGTTCTTCTCCATTACTTATGCAATGAAATAGGTGGTAAGTAGGTTTGAACATTTTCTTTCTCACATAGGCTTTGGTTCTATACAATTATACTTAATTATCCAGTCTGGTTTCATTGCTTTGCTATATTTTTTAGAAACTATTGAACTCTATGTGAATTGGGCAGCTTTGCCATTGAAGTGCAATTTTTCATACATCATCAAGTAAGGCTCTGCACCAATTCTATGTTATTCTGATGTACAATTACCAAGATGCAAGTATTGATGTTGACATATATATTATATTATTTATAAGCTTATAGACTCTTGGTTAGAAGAAGACGTTTGTCGAAACGGCATCGCATTCCAGAGACCACCGTCCCGTCGTTGTCATCTTCTATCTTTATGTATCTGAACTTACGCATTTGAATGTATTATTATCACTTTTGTACGTTTCATATTTATGACTTTATGGTTTTCGTTAAAGAAATATTGAGCGCACTGTGTACAGTTCTTGTCGTTCTATTTTTGCATGTCTATGGACTGTGACCATATTTGTTTTTGTATACATTAATATCTGAAGAAGTGTGCCTGCGCTCGAAAGCTTTGTTCTAGACAGTTAGGGGCTGGGCCATCTGTAAGTGGAAGAGCATCTGCTTTGCTCACAAGAGTTCCCAGGTTTGTTCCCCAGTCTATCCAGTTTAAAAGATCAGGGGATGTGGAAGACCTCTTGCCTGAGACCCTGGTCTATCCAGTTTAAAAGATCAGGGGATATGGAAGACCTCTTGCCTGAGATCCTGGAGACCCACGGCCAGTCAGAGCAGACGATATTGGCTCTGAAAGACCAAAGGGCCTGACAGCTGTCTGATATAAATGCACACCGATAAGGCAGCTTTGTGTGCGTGTCGATTCAAGGCAGGTCCCCAACCCCACACCATCGTCCACGTTGTACAGGGTCTTGGTCCACAGCGGCATTAGATGGTGAAGTAGTGTGTGTGCATAAAGGGCTGTCGAGTCACAGCCAACTTATGGCGACTCCAGCAAGGGGCTTCCAAAGCTAGTGGGAAGCAGAGGCGGTTTGCCATGGCCTTCCTCTGCAGAGCCTTCCTTGGTGGTCTCCCTTCCAAGGGCTGGTCTTGAGATCTGATGAGATCAGGCTATTGCATGCCCCCTTCCCTTCCCATCTGGTGGAGGTGACAGGACCCATAAACAGAAGCCCAAGCTATATGTTAAGTCGCTCGCTTAACAAAGAAGTCGGAGAGTGATTCAGCAAGAACACAACTTTATTCTTCAACTCCAACACAACTCCAACACGGATCAACATCTGATAGCCTGAACAGAACAGTTCAGCTTTTACATTGCAGTAGTCCTGCTTTTAAACTCTCCCGGCTAATGTAGCCACACCCACTGTACAAATAACAACCAATACGGTTGTTCAGATAAGGACCGATCACGGACATTCCCGTTCAGGGAGCTTGCTTTAAAGTGATTGGCTAGGTGCTTCCTGGGCTAGCAATACGATTGGATGGATTTGGATCCTAGCCTGGGACGAAGCTTAACATAGCTTTTCAATCAGATGTTTCACAACACATAATGCATTCAATTGCAGCTTATGAATACATTACACTATACCATTGCACACGGGGGATGTCTTTTTTTGGGGGGGGGATTTGAGGTTTTTTTGTTTGTGTGTATGTGTGTATGCCTGGAAGTCATGGTTGACGTCTGGCGACCCCTAGTGGGGCCTGAGCGTTTCAGAGAGGTGACTTACTACTGCCAACCTCCGCCTCCCTGCCCTGGTATTCAAATGAGGTCTCCCATCCAAGTACTTGCTGGAATCGACCCTGTTTAGCTTCCGAGATTGGGCTTGCCTGGGCTATCCAGGTCAGGGTGGGGATGCCATTTTTTATTGCTCTCCTACAGAACAGATCTCTCTAGTGCCATGCAGATTAAAAAAAAAAAACGTGCTGATGCTTTGACAGAGCTAGTCCAGATTATTGCAAAAAATAAATAATAATAAAAATTTGGGGGAAAGAAGGGGAAATGATGTGCAAGAACGCTTCTGGACTTCATACTCCTGCTAGGGGGAAAAATGTGCATAGTTTCTGCCCTGAACTTCTTCGAGGAACAATGGGATACAAGGTAAATTAATTTAAGACTGCTAAGAGATAAAGATGGTTTAACGGCCTGAAACCGACATAACTTTAAAAAAAATTCTCACACCAGCAATTATGGTAATAAAAAACAATCATAAATAAAATAATAAAGCAAATGCAAATATTTTTAAAACACGGCATATGGCATCTATGGAAGTCAGAAAAAATGGAACTGATATTCTTTGCTCATTGAATTGGAATACAGTGTGGTGTGGTGATGTCAGACTAAAGTCATGAACAATCAGCAGTCAATCCTGTATTCTCCCATGAAATTTATTAGGTGACTTTGGGAGGGGTCACCTGTGCCTTAGCCTAGCCTACCTCACAGGGCTGTTGTACAGATAGGGGGGGAGCCACGTCTGCTCCCACAAGCTACAAACAAACTGCATAGAGGACAAAATTATAGGCATTAAAATGCTAGAATTCATTTGGCAGATTCCAAAGACATAGTGAGACATAGGGCGAACTTTTTAAAGTGTCTGACAGGGATGCTCACAAACATTCGAGCAGCTCTGTGTCAAGCACAGGGATAGATCAAGAAGTGAGTATCTGAAGAAGTGAGCAGTGACTCACGAAAGCTCACACCCTACCACAAATTTTGTTAGTCTTTAAAGTGGTAGTGGACTCTTTCTCTTTTTCAAAACACAGCGATGTTTGCCCATCTGTTTCATGTGGCTCTTCTTTGCTGCCGACTTCAACTTTGCTTTTCTCCACATGAAGCATCATTCCAAGACCCTGAAACCTACTTCTGGCTCACTAGCTCACTAGTGTCCTGGTGAAACTCAGGACTAGGTTTGCCAGTTCCATGGTCAGGGTGGGGGTATCGCTCACCCACAGGACAGGTTCCATTGCCCACCACTACTCCAAGAGGTGGAAGGGGGAATTTTTTCCAAAAAAAATTGTGAGGTCAGTTGCATTGCTATGTCACTTCTACGCAGGGCTCTTTTAGTAGAAAAAGCCCAGCAGGAACTCATTAGCATAATAGGCCACACCCAACAGCAGGAACACATTAGCATATTAGGCCACACCCTCGACAGCGCAGCTCATTAGCACATTAGGCCACACCCCCATGCTACCAGAAGTGTGGTCATCCAGCCACACCCACCTTTTGCTTGTTTTTCTGTTTACCTTGTTTGTGGTCAAAACCCAGGGCCTTTTTTTGTAGCAGGAACTCCTTTGCATGTTAGGCCACACACCCCTAATGTAGCCAATCCTAATGAGTTCCTGCTGTTGGGTGTGGCCTATTATGCTAATGAGTTCCTGCTGGGCGTGGCCAACTTGGGAGCCAGCCGGAACTCCGTTCCTGTGTGTTCCTGCCCAAAAATAGCCCTGCTTCTACGGTAGTTCTAGGACCTGGCAAAAACTACAGTTTTACCATAGAGTTTCCAGTGATTCCTAGAGTGTCCCTATGTCACCTCAGGGTTTTGCTTGGAAGCAACACAAAGATGCGGCCAATGTTGTTCTCCCCCCTCATGTCCCCTCCCCCATTCCTCCCACTTAGGACTGTTCATGCACACATGGCACATGTAACAGAGGGGGTGGGGGTACGTACGTGAACAAGGTGCTGAAGGTGGGTCTTGAGCCGCTCGGTAATAACTGCTCTCACAGCGGCACACCTGCGCGGCCTGGCTGTCAGAATAGCTGTGGGGAGGGCATTTGGCACACAGCTGATCCCCGGGGGAAGACTTGTAAAACCCAAGTTGGCAGGCTAAAGGAAAAGGAGAAAGGAGACACGTGAGATGGTGGAAGCCTCGACGACTGACTCAGAAACATTCCTTCTGGCTTGTCAGGTGACTCAGAAACATTCCTTCTGGCTTGTCAGGTGCCCGGGCTGTTGAATCCTGGAACGGAATTTCTCTGCCTCCCCAAACACTGCTGGAAGCCGCCAGCTCACTGACAAGAGTCTTTGCAACGAAGAAAATCTGTTCATTGCTCCTTAAAGACAATCTTATTATTCATTTACTACGGATGTTCGTGGCTCATAATTCTTCTCAAGAGCTCTGGGTGGCTGACAGGCGCAGGGCGATGCCGCTTCAAACTCACAAACATCCCGTGAGGGAAAGTGCGGCTGAGAGAGAAAGCAGTGGGCCCAAAGTTTCTCTGTGAGCTTCGAGGGCCAAGAAGGGAATGACACAAGGGAGCCATAAGAGTGGTGAATCATTTTCATAAAAATAATATTGTTTCCCCCCTCAGGGCCTAGGGCATACCTGTGAATAAATCAAAGTTATATAAAATGGGTCCCTGACCCAAATGGCCCAGGCTAGCCTGCACTTGTCAGCTCTCGGAAGCTAAGCAGGGTTGGCCCTGGTGAGTATTTGGAAGAGAGACCACCAAGGAAGTCCAGGGCTGCTACACAGAGGCAGGCAACATCAAACCACCTCTGTCCGTCTCTTGCCTTGAAAACCCAACAGGGTCACCATAAGTTGGCTGTGACCAGTGTTTCCCCTAGAGGACCTAAAGAGCCTCTTGCTCAGGGTAAAGGAGGAGAGCGCAAAAGTGGGCTTGAAGCTCAACATAAAAAAAACTAAGATCATGGCATCCGGCCCCATCACTCCTTGGCAAACAGAAGGGGAAGTCGTGGAAGTAGTGACAGACTTCACATTCCTGGGATCCCAGATCACTGCAGACTGTGACAGCAGCCATGAAATTAAAAGACGCCTGCTCCTTGGGAGGAAAGCGATGGCAAACCTAAACAGCATGATAAAAAGTAGAGACATCACCCTGCCAACAAAACTCCGCATGGTCAAAGCAATGATATTCCCAGTAGTCATGTATGGCTGCGAGAGTTG